ATACTCAAAATTCTGTTTTTCACTGTTTAGAATATCCCTTGTCTTAGAGATAAGATTTATTTTTTTATAGGTAATACATGCAGATAGTTGGAAACTTGGAAGATACAGAGTGATGGAAACTCACCTATCTACCCAGTCTGTCTCCTTCTAGGCAGTTCTAGGTTCTAGTGCACCTTCCCAGAGACCTTTGGGGCCCAGAGGCAGTCTCCCCTCCCCTGCTACAAATTACACTGAAATACATATGCTGCTCTACAGCCTGTTTTTTTTCACTGTGCGTTGAAATCCTTGTATTAAAAAGTGTGCAGGCTTCCTAGTTCTTTTTCACGGCTTCTTAGTATTCTTCAGTGGATAACGTTTTACATACTCTAGGAGATATTTGTTCCAAACACATTTGTTTTCATTAAAAGATTTATTTATTTTTATTGAAAGGATCATTTACAGAGAAGGAGAGACAAAGAGAAAGATATTCCACGTGCTGGTTTATTCCCCAAGTGGCTGCAAAGGCTGAAGCTAAGCTGATCTGGAGCCAGGAGCCAGGAATCAGGAGTTTCTTCCAGTTCTCCCACATGGGTGCAGCATTCCAAGACTTTGGCCTGTCCTTAACTGCTTCCCCAGACTACAAGCAGGGAGCTTGATGGGAATTTGGGCAGCTGGGATCCAAACTGGTGCCCATATGGGATTCTAGCGCATGCAAGGCAAGAATCTAGCCACTAGGCTATCATGCCAGCCTCTCAAACACTTCTATTCTCTCAGTGGTTTATCCTTCTCAGGTTGTTTCTGTGACTATATTGGGTATAGTTCAACAAGAAATTTGAAAGGGAATGTGGAAGGTTCTTGAAAAAAAAAAAAACTAAATTTTATATCTTAAAAGCTTTAAAACTTTAAAAATTTTCAAGGTGGTATGGGTTTAAAGTTTTCTAAAAAAAAAAATCAACATCAACAGTGGAAATGGTGTGATTTAAGACTTTCAATTACTTCTGCTCAGTCTTATGTATCCTGTGTACAATGAAACTGGTTAAACATTGAAAGTTCCATAGTTGGGAGCAGGTATTTAGCCTAGATGTTAAGATGCCCACTGTGTTCAAGTTCTGGCTCTTTTCTCCGTTCCAACAGGAGCCAGCTCAAGTAGTTGGGTCCCTGCCACTGACATGGAAGATCAGGATTAATTTTTGGGCTCTTGGCTTCAGCTAGGTCCAGTCCTGGTTGTTTTGGGCCTTTTAAGGGTAAATGAGTAGATAATTATCTTTTATCTCTTTGTCCAATAAAATGTTTTAAAAATCCCATTGCTCAATAATTTCCTACTTGTATTACCCTAGGGCACTCAATGGAGAATTTATGTCTTTTTTAAAAAAAAAAAAGATTTATTTTTATTGGCAAGTCAGATTTACAGAGAGAGAGAAAGACAAAGATCTTCCATCCGCTCGTTCACTCCCCAAGTGGCTGCAAAGGCCGAAGCTGAGTTGAGCTGATTCAAAGCAGGATCCGAAGCTTCTCCCAGTCTCCCATGCAGGTGCAAGGTTCCACGGCTTTCAGCCATCCTTTGCTGTATTCCCAGGCCACAAGCAGGCGACTGGAAGGGAAGTGGAGTGGCCAGGATACGAACTGGTGCCTGTATGGGATCCTGGTGCATGCAAGGCAAGGACTTCAGCCACTAGGCTACTATATACTAGGCCCAAGAATTTGTTTCTAATGGCTGACAATAACTTTTCCTTTCTTGGGGCTGGCACTGTAACATATTAGGCTGAACCTCTCTCTGTGGTGCCAGCATCCCATTCAAGTCCTGGCTGTTGTACTTCCAATCTGGCCACCTGTTTATGACCTATGGAAGCAGTGGAAGATAGTTCAAGTCCTTGGGCCCCTGTATCCACATGGGAAACCTGGAAGAAGCTCCTGGCTTCAGGTCAGCCTAACTCCAGCTGAGGAGGTTGAACTGGAAATAGAGCCTAATCCGATTTGGGGAATGAACCAGCAGATGGAAGATCTTTTTCTCTGTCTCTCTTCTCTGTAAATCTCCTTTTCAAATAAAAATAAATAAAAAAAAAAATTTTTAAAGGGTGTAGTATAGAACATTAACTCTTAGGCCTGCTATTTCTTTTCCTTTCTACTCTGTTCTTTATTTTACTATTATATAATCCTCACTTTAAATGGAATTAAATTTGAGGAGAGGAGACTTGTGACTAATTAGGGCAGTGATGTAGGCTTCAAATTTCCAACTTCTTTGCTGAATGGTGTGTTTGGACTCATAAAGAAGTTTTCTTTTCGACAGGTTAAGACTTAATAAAGTTGATGCATTAAAAAAAAATCAATACAGAAAAGTATAAAATCCAAACATTCTGTCACGTAGAATATTAGCAGCATTCTAAAAAACAAGTCTTCTTTTGTATATATGCAGATAAATTTACAAAAAAATCAATGAATTATGCTAACAAAATGAAAGAATTACTTTTTGCAAGCTCTGTTGGTTCTGATGAATCCCTTTAAAGTTTTGCAAAAAAAAAAAATTATGAAAGGGCATTAAGAGGTTGAAGGTCACCGTGATTCACTCTCTCAAGCCGAGACAAGCCTGGGAGCTGCTTTCATTGCTTAGAAGCTTTGATTTAGGTATCGGAATTGCTTGATGGCAGAGGTAAAGCATAACCTCAGTGTGTCTTTATCCATTATAAGGGATCTTAGAGGACCCTGAAGTCCATGTTTTATTCTGTTTTCTGCCATGTTTAGTGGGGGTATGGGTAGAGTATAAACTCTGGGATCAGGTTATCTGGACTTTTATATTCTAAAGAGTTATTTATTTTTATTTGAAAGGCAGGTTTTACAGAGAGAGGACAGATAAAGAGAGGTTTTCCATCCACTGATTAACTTTCCAAATGACAGCAATGGTCAGAGCTGAGCTGAAGCTGGGATCCAGAAGCTTCTTTCTGCTCTCCTACATGGGTGCAGTGGCTCTCTGCTGCTTTCCCAGGTGATAAGCAGAGAGCTGGATGGGAAGTGGAGTAGTTGGGACACACACTGGCAGCCATATGGAATGCTGACAGTAACAGATGGAGAATTAACTTGCTATGCTACTGTGCCAGCCTCAATCTATTTGGATTTTTGAAGCATATTTATTTTCATCTACTTTGAAAGGCAGAGAGAGACATTTTTCATCCTCTGTTTCATTCCCCAAATGCCTGTAACAGTCAAGACTGGGACAGATCAAATTCAGGAGCCAGAAACTTGAGTGTTTGGACCCCTACTACCCAGATGTGGATTAAGCACCTGGCTTTTGACTGTGGATTGGCTGAGCTCCAGATGTTGCGGCCATCTGGGAAGCGAACCAGCAGATGGAAGATCTCTGTCTCTGTCGTTCAAATAAACAGATTTAAAAAAAATAATCCCACAGTAAAAAGTTGCAAACATGTCTTAATGAAATCTAAACATAAAATGAAGGGACTATGTTCACCTGAGCCTTCTTCCCAGAGTACCTCACTGTTGATAGAGATCAAAAGTGTGGCATTGCTGCTATGGCTCTGTGTTCCTTCCCAACAGCTTGATGCCTATGAACAAGTAAGGTTCTTAGAATTACCTCCAACAGATGGACTAAGTTCATTGTGTTTTTGTTTTTCTTTTTTGGAACATGCCAAATAGTAATACATCATTGTTTGGCATTTGGGAATCATTTTCTGCACAGAGCCTTTGTTGTATTTGAGTGTGGGGAGAGGGGAGGTTATTTTTTTGTAACAGGATTTGACCTGTAAGTATGATTGAGAATTTCTTAGAGGAGTTCAAAGCATTTTACAGGGATCATCTTATTTATCCCTGGAAAGTAAGGCGGAGGCATTATCTCCACTACAGACTGAGAACACTAAAAGGCCAAGATAGGTGGGGTTTTGGGTTGTTGTTGTTTTGCTAAGATCAAAAAGTAATTCCAGAGCAAAGCCAGATTCCGGTCTGACCTTGTTACATGATGCTTCTGCCGCGTGGTATTACCGCATCGCTGCTTCCCCCTAGGTCCTTCCTTGGCTATGCTGAGCACTGAATAGTTTTTGGAATTCATTTCTCATTCATTCCTGCTCTTTGAAAATGGGTATTAAGATGTAGACAAATAACAAACAAAACAAAACAAACCCTCATTGCTTTTCAGTCTGGACTGGAGGTACAGAATACACAGGGATAGTGCTGTCCTCCCAATCTCACTTCCACATGTCACCAACACAAAATGACTCATGAGTCTTGTACAAGTATCAAAAATAGGTGTACATTTCACACAGCATACTTCACTTTGGACCAGTCACACTTTAAATGCTGAACAATCACATGTGGTTTGGCTGAGGGTGAGAGACAGCAGTCTTAAACCTGGGAGCTCCCTGCACACGAGTGCCCTGAAGACCGAAGGGGTGGGAGGGTGGCAGGGACAGGGATCCTGGGTAAGTTTTGTACTTGGGCGGTGGCTAATAAAAAGATCTAGAAGGACTATCTCCTAACACATGACTATGTTGCGCGTTGGGGACTCAAGACTTAGGAAGGTGAGACCTCCCAAATTACGTCTAACATGCAAGTTCACTGCCGGGACCTTGTTTCATAGCCTGTGTGAGAAGCCGGAATTAGGGGCTGCTGTTTCTGAAGCTATGGCCTGCGGAGATCAGGAGTCTCCCGAGGAAGAGGAAAGCTCCCTAGACAGGAAAGACATCCAACTAGGTACTGCTTGAGGGCAGGGCTTCCAACCACCTGCTTCCCGAAGCCGGGCTCACAGCAGCTGGAATCAAGGCACACCAAGACTTTCCACGCAGCGCCTCGGGGGCGCTGGTGCGGGGGGTGGGTGCGTGTCAGGACTGTCCTCGCCCCGGCCTCAGCCCGCACCCCAAGTGGCTCCGCCGCCGCAGGTGTGAGGGGCGGGCCCAAGTCTGGGCCCGCACCGCCCCATGTGACCCGGTCCGACATGGTGTCGCCTCCTCCCGGGACCGCAGCGGTAGCGGCGGCGGCGGCGGCGGCGGCTGGGCTCCGCGTCGGGCCCGCCCCGCTGCCGCTCATGGGCAGCCAGGGTGGCTTGGGGCCCCCCGGGAACGTCGGGCCGGGAGAGGACGAGGGCGAGGGCGGGCAGGCGAGAAAACTGCAGGAAGAGAGGGTTGTGAAGGGAAAACGAAGGAAGGGGAAGGAGAAAGGAAAAGCGGGCGCAGGGTGCGGCGGAAGAGGAAGCGGGGCGGAAGGGAAGCCGGGGCCGCCGAGAGCGAAGGAGGCGGTGGAGCTGGGGGCTGAGGCGGCAGCGAGGGCAGGCCGGGCGGAAGGAGGACAGGGCGGCGGAAGCGTGGAGGAAGGAGCGAGAGCAGGGGCCAGGAAAAAGGCACCAGGAAGAGACGATGGGAAGGACGAGTGGAGGGTCCGGCCTGGGCGGCGGGAAGCTACCAGGCCGGGCAGAGCATCGAGACGAGAGTGTCAGGCTTGGGGCGGTGTCGCCATGGCGGCGGTAGTTGAGGAAGAGGCGGCCGCTAGCCCGCCGACCGCGCGCCCGACTGCGGGGCCCGCGCTGTGGCGCCTGCCGGAGGAGCTGCTGCTGCTCATCTGCTCCTACCTGGACATGCGGGCCCTCGGCCGCCTGGCCCAGGTGTGCCGCTGGCTGCGGCGCTTCACCAGCTGCGACTTGCTCTGGCGCCGGATAGCCCGGGCCTCACTCAACTCCGGCTTCACCCGGCTCGGCACCGACCTGTAAGCGCCCGCTGGTCCGCCAGCTTCCCGCCCCGGGCGGGCCTGCGTCCTGGGAAAGGGCGGGGCTCCGCGACGGCCTGCTGGGCCGCAGAGTTGTTTTCGCACTCCCAGGCCCAGGCTTCCCCCATCCCCCTCAAGCTTTGCTTCTGACCAAGGCCTCCCCAGTAGCATCCTTAGGCCAGCACCTCCCCTGTAGGCGGCTGCTTGCAGTTAACCATCTTTAGCTCTCCCCCACCCGCTTGTACCGCTTGTACCTGCGCCTTGGCGGGCATTCGGCTGCCCCAGCGCCATAGAGGCCAGACGGGCACCTCCAAGTTCAGGTCCACCCAATGTGGCTTAACAAAAACGTTTCGCAAATGTTATCTCAGATCAAATTAAACGAGGAGGAAAGGGAAGAAAGCTTTTTGTGCCAGGGATAACCCTAGTTCATGACTCCGTCGTAAGGCAGAACATGAGCAAGGGAGGGTCCAGGCTGCGAAGGAGCCTTGCTATTGCAGTTGGGCCTGGCTCTGGTAGGCCTCGAGCCTGTCGGTGGGGAACATTCTTGAACCACATAAGCTGGTTACGTTAGGACCGGCACTTTGGCATAGTGAGTGCTGTAGCAGCCCGTTGTGGCCCTCAGAATACCAGCTGATCCATTTCTGATCCTGCTCCCTGCATTCACATGGGGACCCCAGAGGGAGCAGCTGGCTCCTGGCACAACCTCCACCCTTTTTGGCCATTTGGAGAGAGCAGCGGATGGAAAATTTCTTCTCTGTCTCTCTTCTCTGCCTTTCAAGTTAATTATTATGTTTTTTTTTTTTTTTAAAGGAAAGGCAAAAATGTATGGACTTGAGGGAGTAAAAGCTTTGAGATTGTACCTTGCTGCTCCCAAGGAAACTCGTGTTTTGAAAAGCAGTTCTAGTACAGTATAGTAACACTACAGAAGGTTTTTTAAAATATAGAAAAGCCACAATATCATCATCTCTGGGTAACTAGTTTTGCTTAAACACTTAAGATTGTGTTTTTTTTTAAAAAAATATTTGTTCAAAAGGCAGAGTGACAAAGAGATCTTCTATTTGCTAGTTCATTCCCCAAATGGCCACACCAGCCGGGGCTGGGCTAGGCAGCAGCCAGTAGCCAGAAACCTCATTGAGTCTCACCCTTGGATGGCAGGAAAACAAGTACTTGAGTCAGCACCCCTCAGGCATGGTAGTAGGAAGTTGGATTGGAAGCAGAACAGCCAGTAGGTGGACTGGAATACTATTGGAGTGTTGAAAGTGACTGTTTATTCTGTTAATTCCATGATGCTGGCCTCTGTTTAAAACTTGTAAAAAGTTTTCAGTTTATTTAAAAGGCAAAAAAAAAGTCACGCAGAGCAACCCAATGTCTGTTAGTTCATTCTCTAGTTCACGGTGTCAGGTTGAAGCAAGAAGCCTGGGAAGCTCAGTCCGGGTCTCATGTGGGTGGCAGAGACACATACAACTTGAACCATCACCTCTGCTTTGCAGGGTGCTGGTTAACTGGAAGCTGGAGTGGGATGCAGAGCCAGGACTTGAACCCAAGCACTGTGGTATGGGATGTGGGTGTCACAAGTGTTCACTGTTGTGCCAAGTGGCCTATGTTTAAATTTTCAATCGCACACCTTCCTCCACCATAGTTACTCTTACTGACCCTGACAGAAAACATAGGTGCATAATGAATAATGCACTTTAGGCTAATGGCATGTGACTTGTTGAAATGTAAGTCACGTACCATTTGACATATGTCTTTGAATTAGTTCTTTAGGGTAAAATCTCAAGGTGGGCTTTTCTGGATCAAAGATTCTCTTTTGTAATGGTGCTGTATTAAGTTACAGTTTACCGGTAAAGAGAGAACCAACTTTATGTAACAATTAAAACTGTCTTTGCTATTTTAGTGGCAAATTGTATTTGCCATTCTAAATTGTATTGTTTTGTATCTCTTTTTACCACTGGTGGAGGTGAATGTTTTGCCATGGTATTTGGTCTACTGGTCGACTTGTAAGATTGTTTCTGCTCTTTGCCCATTTATTATTGGAGTCTTGGTGCTTTTGTTTTATTAAGTTGGAAACCTGGGGATCAAAGGTATCAAGCCCTTGCCTATTATCTTTAAAGCAAATATTTTTCCCTGTCAATCCCTCTTACTGTATTTTATCTTATGAAAGTTTTTCACTTTCATCTGTTAGAATCTTGCAATCTTTTGTGGAATTTTTTTTCCCTCTTGTCCATATCTGAGAAATTTGTAATTTCTCCACAGACCTGGCAAATCTTCTCTTTGATTTCACAATAGTTTTCTTATAATTTTATCTTTAAATAGTTAATATTTTCAGTAGTATCAATTTTCTTTTGCTTCATGAGGTGAATTCAACTTCTTTTTCCACCCAAATGGCTACCTAGGTATCATTACGCCTTGTGTTAATTCGTCTCTTTGCTTTTGGTTTAGAATGCTGACTTTGCGGTATATTAGGTCTATATACATGTATGTGCATTGGATCTATATCAGCACTCTCCAGTTTGTTCCTTTGACATACCTGTTGTTGCATTTTTTTCCTATACCCTTCTGAATACATTTGTAGTTTGTTTTTATTACAAATATAGTTGTTTCCTCAGTATTTTCTGGTTGAATATTATTAAAGCATTCATTATGTGAATCTTTTATAAATTCTTAACCTATTCATTGTGACTATTAAATCTAGTATGATTTTGCTGATGATATGATCCACTGGGATTTTATGAGTGTGCAGTCTTTTCACTTGCCAAGATAGTGTTTTGTCTGTTCTTGCAAGACTAATTCTTTCAAAGAATTTTACCAGTTGACATAGAAAAGAATTTGATTAAAATGACTGGAACCCAAAACTGCTTTTTCTCTCACTTTATGGAGACTGAATGAGTGACTACGTTGTTTATTTTTCTTTCCTGTTGATATGTCCTAAAAGATAGAAAGTGTGAGTCTGTGTTCTGTAGCAATGTTAGTAACAAAATGAAATTAGTTTGTAGTGTAAAGTGTGTTGAGATTGCCAAGTGCTACTCTGGCTTTATTATTTATTAGACACGTGTGTTTTGGTTTCTCACCTGTGCCCTAACGTGTGGGATCTTCAGCGTTCTTGGAAAGTTGTTTTACCGCAGCATTTGATAAAGAGCAGGGTCACTGCTCTGGTGTTCTTGGTTGAGGAAGAAGTTACGCTGTTACAGCAGGTGGAGACACTGCTTGCCAGTGTGGTCTGTTTCTGGACAGCTGCAGAGACTTAAGTTGCTGAGGGAGGTGGTTATCACCCCTGGGGTGGGGAGGGGAAGTCCTCTCAAGGTTTCAGAAACAGTATGGTTGCCTGGATAGTGGCAGGGCTGTTGTTTTTGCCCTGAGTTTATTTATTGCACACTGGATCCGTTCTTATAGATGCAGCACAAAACTTGATTTTATCAGAAGCTGTGTATCGTGCCTGGCCCTGGGTTTTCTCATCCATAAAAAATGAGAATAACGTTACCCAGTCAAATGAGACCTGAGTGCAGAGTGCTAGGCATATTCAGGGCACAGAGGCACTCAGTTAATAGCTGCAAAGTGGAATTTTGATTGCTTAGCTTCTCCTGTTGTTTCGTCCCTAGAGAGCAAAAGTGGGGATGGTTGGAGTTGGAGGTGCTGCCTCAAGACAGGCGGTGGAAACTCCTCTGGCTGCTCAGTTTGTCTCACCTGTCCTGAATGTTTTCAGGAACTTGACAGCAGAACCTGTAGACTTAGGGTGTGCACTGCCTGAAGAGCCTCTTGAGTCTTAGAAACACAAACTGCTAAGGTTTACTGACCTTCCGGCCCAGGGCAAGCCCCGTTTAGTTTGGCTATTCCTAACTGATCATAGCTTTGTTGAGTAAGATGAACTGCTTTGGTTCCTTGTGATTTGTTAATGGTCTTATGCTTGTGCTTGAAGGCATTCTGGCCACTTTAAAACCAGAAACAAATAATTTGCTTCCCATTAGGCCTCTCGCCCAAACAATGAATACTAGTAGGTGTCCTGAGCTTTTCTTTTTTTCTTTCTTTTTTTTTTTTTTAAAGGGAACAGGAAGATAGTTGCAGTCAATCATCTGATTTGAAATCAGTTTTCTTTTAAAAGTTTTTGTGAAGCCTAGGGGGAATAGAACTGCCTTGACTATAATAATAATAATAATATTACTAATAAAAGTCGAGGGATTGTTTCCTACGGTGGTCTTTTAAGTTTCCCCTAGAGTGGGATGAGGGACTAACATATTTAAGCATACAGGAATGGGACAGTGAAAACCATCTCTGGTCAGTTTATAATGCAGATTGGATGAAAGAAGCAGAGTGTGTGATGGGAGAAGAGTTGAGAGGCTACTTGCAAATTCTGATATTGAAAATTAGCAAGAATGAAAGATGATAAGAAAAGAACCTATCCATGCCTATAAATCTATTTTTAAACCTAACTTTTGGGCCCGGCATAATAGCCTGGTAGCTGAGGTCCTTGCCTTGCATGCGCTGGGAGGCTGTATCGGTGCCGGTTCTAGTCCCAGCGGCCCTGCTTCTCATCCAGCTCCCTTCTTGTGGCCTGGGAGGGCAGTAGAGGATGGCTGGAAGTCTTGGGTTCCTGCACTGGTGAGGGAGACCTGGGTGAGACTCTGGGCTCCTGGCTTGGGATCGGCTAGTTCCCGGCTAGTTTCTTCTCTATCTCTCCTCCTCTCTATATATCTGACTTTGCAACAAAAATAGATTAATCTTAAAAAAAAAAAAGCAACTTTTACCATTCTGCCATTATTTTATCCCCAATTAAATATTACACACTTTCAGTCAGAGTTTTATGTTAAACAGCCCTTGGTGTTTTTGCCTTTGCCTGTGATAGATTTGCCTGGAATTAACAATAGGTGTTTAGGGTGTGAGGCTCCTGCTGTGTTTGCCCTGGCATGTATGTTCATTCCTCCAGGCCACGGCCTGTAGCCTTGGAGCTCTTTGAGCCTGGGGGAGTGGGGTATCTATTTCAGTGATGATTAACGTCCAGAGTG